GTAAATACATCTCTAACCAAGCAGTCTGAGGCAGAGGATTTCCTGTAGGATTTTTATTTGGTGTCAGTTAGCATGCAGCACGGGGCAACTTGCCAAGTAAATGCATCTTTTCAGTCTCCATTGGTCCTGGGTCTGCCTCCTCAAGAAATACAGGGATAACTATTTTTAATTTTTTTTTTTCTGAAACTGCCATCTGAGGCAGGACGAATGCAATCCAAACTAGTTTTCATTTCAAATTCCAGCCTCACAGGAAGCACATACACAAACGTTAAGTGATTCCATACTTCACATACATAGAGTTCAAAAGCAAATGAGCATCTCCTTACAGCTCTGGGGCTTCCTGACAGTGAAATAGTCCTCAAGCATGTAAAGATATGCTTCCACTGCAAGCTAACCTGATTTGCACTGAAAAGCTACAGCTTATTCATGATGCAGCTGGGACCAGCACCCTGTCTGTTTCTGGGATTTCTGGGGACACAACCCATCTTACAGTTAGTGCTGCAGTACAGTTTATCCCTGTTATTCTCTGTACGGAAGTACGTGGGGAGGTCATCTGCATTTCTGGCCAAGACAGAGGAGGAACTGCAGGAGGGCACTGGAAGTCAACACATAAATGACTTATTCTGGTCCACTCCGATGAGCACTACTAGTACTACTACTGGGCAACCAGCACAGATGAAAGATCCGCCTAGCCCACAACCGGCTGCTGGCAAAAGATGGAAAGTACAGCCAGACTTGGAAGAAAAAGCTTTGTATGTAGGCAGGAGGGTAAACAGGAGTGACACCTAAGCAAGACTATGAACTATATTTGCCTTGAAGATGTACTCCAAATCTTTGCTCTGTAGAGATTAATCAGCACTTAGATACATTCTTCTTTCTCAACATAGAAGCTCTGGGAACTGTTCTGGGATCACTGTCGTAGAGCCAAATGCCTGAATTTGTAGGTTACATCTTAGAGAGTCACAAGGAGTAAAACTCTCATATGAAATTTAGGGGGAATATAATTTGGGAACCTTTTATTTATTTTTAGAACTCTTACAATTCGTATCGGCCAGGTTTACTTTCTTTCCTCCTCCCTAGCTTAGTGAGCCAGTCTGGCTGGTTTTGAGGTGAAAGTCAAGATTTTCAAATATTACAGAACTCCCAGAATTTCATTTCAAGGAAAAAAACCAGCATTAAATACTGTGATGGCTGGCAAAATGCACGTAAACTGGGACATACAAATACAAGCTGATATATTGAATGTACAAAATGATATGAAAGTTTTGAAAACCTCAAATTAATTCCCTATGTCACTATGTCTGTATAATTTCACCCAAATAAAAAGAATTTTATAGTGTAACAGGATGGATAAGCAGAACTTTGTTAAAAATAGAGCATATGTACTCCCTAGAGGAAAAAAAAAAATCAATCTACTGAATAATGAAAAAATATAAAAAAATTCCCAAACCTCCTGTATGACAAGAATTTTATAGTGTAACAGGATGGATAAGCAGAACTTTGTTAAAAATAGAGCATATGTACTCCCTAGAGGAAAAAAAACTGAATAATGAAAAAATATAAAAAAATTCCCAAACCTTCTGTATGACATCTTAAGTTCTGTTCATCAAGACATGCATTGAATTTTGTAGATTCAAACTATTCAAACAAACTATATAGGCACTGAAATACTGTAGTTTATATAATTCATAGCATTAGAATGGTTTTGTGTTTTATTAGCTGTTTTACATTATGTTATTAAACGCAATAGCAGCCTTTACTGTATAAGCTTGATTACGTACTACAGGGTTATCTAGCGGGATGCTAGCTAAACAATGAAGTAAAAAATGAAAGGTTTGTCAGGGTAACTTAAAAATCTATATAGAAGATGATAATTCTAGATACACAAGACACATTAAGCACTTAGTCAATCAGTTGTGTTAGTTGCTTTTTTGCCACAAATGACTATTAAATATAAAGTCTTGTGACTGGACCTAGAGCGGGGACTTCAGTTAGTCAACTAGGTGTTACCTCCTCCTGCACTGAACTTTTCCTATCCACTATACCATTTACAGAGATACTTCACTGTGCAGATAAATTAACTTCCACTTTTCAAATACATAATTATATATATAATCATGTATTCAATTGACCAAAAAAGCTCACTTATATGATCTCTGGACTATACTTATCTTTCACCATCAACTCTGTTCTGCCAATTTGTAGTGCAAATTCTCCCAACTTTTATGGATTTCTGTTTGCACACTGGTGTGCTCCATTTTCAAGAAAAGACTGATCACAAAATAAAGCTTTAACTTTGAGGTCTACAGACAAGGAGGTCTATATTACTCTTCTAGTTTCCAGACCTAAAAGGCAGTGCTGCAAAACCACAGCTGGAATGAAAAAAATCAGGTTGTCTAGATTTTCAGAAGTCATCCAAAAGAGTGGCTCTGTTTTTCCTCTCTGCTTCAGCATGCTTTATTGATAGTAATCACAATGCTAGGACACAAATCCAAGTGGTAGCCTTTGCAGAAGAGTAAAAAATACTTCTTGCTGTGTTTTGCTGGATTTGTTTTTAGCTGGATCAGGTTTGTGATCCACTCATCACAAAACTGGTGCCAGTACAAAGGAGGCAGTGGAAGTAAACAGACACAGCTGAGAGAACTGGGAAGACAAATTATCACTTGAAAAATAGTTTTGAGGTAGTTAAGAGGGACACTGCTTCCCAATTACCTTTGTCTTAAGAGTAATAAATGCAGGTATGCATTGAGAGCACACAGTGGCAAAACCAGAGACTCGGAATGTAGAACGTTGCACATATTCTGCTGTAATGTTACTAGTACCTTAGCTCTGATGGTCTAGGTATATGAATGCAGCAAGGTTCAGGGAGAGAGGTAACAACCCTTATTACAAACTATTGTAGCTGTATGGCACCTGAAAAAGATATTTTGTGGCTCAAAGTTTGTCCAGTTATATCTATAGCATAGTTCTAAAGCTTGGTTTTCATTACAGTTCTGAAATTATTTACTGTTTTCTGTCCATTTCACCTACTGTTAGGCATCCCCATTTTTCAGGCGCTCACCTTGAGACAAATTGTCCTTAATAACTCCATCTGAAGTCGGTGCCAGTGGGAACTGTGGGTTCTCCACACCCCTGAAAGGACTTGAGGGACCACACCATCATAAACAATAGAGGCAAATTAAGTACAAGCAAGTAACTACAGAGGCACTTTTGGAGATGTTAACCTTAATTTCTTTGTGCCCAATTTCCTTTTGTAAAAGAAATACAAACACATGCTTTGCCTTGGTATTGTAAGAATTGATGTGTCATGCTTGTAAGACTGGATTGAGGCCCTCTAAAGAAACGTACAGTACAACATAAGAAATACTGTGTTTAACATGAATTTACCAGATATTGATTTGTAAAAATTAACTGCAAAATGACACATGCATTATTATTTAATGGCATAATAATTTAACACATGCTAATATGTTGTGACAGTTTGGGGAATCTGTATACACAGCTTATGAATGGTGATTATTCTGGAGAATTCATTGCATATAAAATCACATACCTGTCCAACAGTAGCTGCAGAACATTCAGGAGTCATTAACCAGAAATTAATTTGCTCTAGCAATGTAAGTACTGGGGAAGCTGAAGGAAACTGGAAGCAATGAAGGAGATAGCGGACTGAGGGGATTATCTTGATTGCAGTAGTGGAAGAAATTGTGGGGATTTTGTTGCAGGGTACCCAGGAAAATTTGGAAAAAAAAAAAAAAAAGAAGAAAGAGACTGAGTGAAAGATTTCAGGATCTCAGAAAGGTTGTCCAAAACTTCATTTGGTATCTGGAGTGATGATGGCACCAGAGAAGATGGCTTCTTTTTGCCTTTTGTGTAAAAAAAGCATGTTTTAGAAGTTACACTGCAAAACCATAGAGTTCCTTGCTGTAACTGTCAGGGGTTGATATGGGTTTAAAATGTCAAGCAGTGTACTCCTAAGAGTTCAGGAGAGCCTACTGAGGACATTTTAGGATATTAGTATTGGTTTTATTGCCTAGAGCCATGGAAGACAGTGGACAGAGGACTTGCACTGTGGTAATGAATCTGAAGAGCTCACAGATGCTCCCGGGACTGATTAGGCCCAAGTTTAGAAAAGCACAACATCAAATGTCTGATTCCCAAAACAGAAGTTTGGGATTTTTCTGCAGAAAGCTTGGCCAGAGCCGTGACACACAGAGACACACACACACATATATGCAGGGAGCATTCAGTTTCCTAAACGTGGGTGTCTACAGCCACTTGAGATGCCCCAGGGTTTTGGAGATGCCTGCACAGGGATAGCAAATATGATGCAGAACCTTCTGGGAGAGCAGCCAGGACAACCCAGAGCATCTCAGGTGGCACCAAGCAACTGTGTTTAGCTAACTGAATCCCAGCCCTCAATCTTCGTCTTTTTCAGAAGGAGTGTAATTCAATCACAGCATTTTATTTCAGACCATTCTTCAAGCCTTGCCAATGGGGGAGTGAAGGGGCAGAGCAGCCTGCCACTGTAGGAAGGCAGTGGTCTCAAAGCTGATCCTTGTTCTTCTGCTGGGCACAGCCACGTCTGCTTCTCCCCTCTGAACAGACCAAAATTCTGTCCCCATGAAGGCAAGGTTTGTTTCATTATCCAAGTCACTGACTATTAGGAGGACATAGAGACATTTCCAACATATGTGAGGATATGTAATATAGAGCCTAGTCTTTCTTAGTTAAAAAGAAAAAAAGAGCACTGTCAACATCAAAAGAATATCATGTACAATGTATAGTAAACAACTAAACTGCACATTTTTGGTGACAGGTTCAGGACAGAAGCTGAACAAAGTTAGGCTTTTCCTTGCCAAGGATCAAACTGTTTTTTGTCAAATACTGTGCCTAAGTAATCCCTGCCACCTAACAAGCTCCAAGAGCTTTTCAAATATTACTCTGCAAAGCCATCACAGTGTTTTGTGCTATTTGCCACCAAAGGGCCACAGACATACCCGCTGACGTTTCTCTGAATTTGTCACTAGTCTTCTTCTTCCGCCATTTCCACGGTTTAAAGATTTTGCCAATGGTGGAGAGTTTGCCCTTCCTCTTGAAGGGTGGAGTTTGGGATCCTGGGGCTGGTCCATCCGAGTTAGCGATTGAAGCCTTATCCAAACCATCAACTGTAGAAACAAGAAAAGTAAAGGTAACTGAAGGATGGAACACAAAATGGTACCCGACAGATAAACTCTGCCACTATCAGATTTGCAACAGGCTGTGTGTGGGTCCGTGTGCCTTCTGTTCCAGCAGGGCATTTGCCAAAGGGCATTTGACTGCAGCCCGTGGTCACGTCAGCCCCCACCTCAGCTAGCCCTGGGCTTCGCTGCTGCTCAGCACCTCGGCTGCAGCAGGCCAGAACTTGCTTCTCATGACACGCGTCTGGCACGTCTGCGCGTTTCTGTGGTTTTTCATGGCTACTGGAGGATTTCTTTCAACATGTATTTGGGTGACTTTTTCCCTATCTTTGGCAAAGATGAATAACTAGCTGTCATCATATAGAAAACAAAACCCTTACAATGTAAAAACATAAACTATTTCTTTTGAGTAAAATGAATCCTTTCTTAAATGAGCTCCAAAGATAACTGTTCTGGCAGTGGAATGGAAACAGGTCCATTTTATATCCCTGGTAATCAGTCATTCACAGCACAGCCTGCCGTGAGTCAGGCTTCTTATTAACAAAACGCATTTAACAATAAGCTTTTGGGCTGTAGCCAAAGTTTAACGAAGGATTACTTTTCCGCAAAAACACATTGAGTGATATGAAAGCCAATATTTATCATCGACAGCTCTAACACTGAGTTCTGTGAATCAAATTAAGACTCATTCCACAACATGCCGTAGCATACAGTTAAAATAAATTTCCCGGAAATTTCCCCAGGAAGTCTACTGTTATCTACTTCTATTTAAGAACTGAGGTTTCTTAGAGCCTTCCATTCATGGTCCTGCAAACACTTCAAATGTGCTTAATTTTATTCACGTGAGCAGCTTCACTGAAGTAACTGCGATTACTTACATACATGAAATTAATCACAGGCTTAAATGTTTGCGGCATAAGGGCTCTGTAATTGCTTTCATTCATCTAAACATTCTAATTATAACCAATTCGGAACAGAGTTGATGCCACTGTCAACAGTAATAATGATAATCATAGATCATTAAATCAGAAAGTGCTATTCAAAGAAGGAAATATCACTGTCCCCATTTTACAGATGGAAAATATGAAGCACAGAATTGTTAAATGCTTAATTTTATGTTTGCCAAATGGCTTCCTGAATCCTGGTCCTGTGTCCTAGCTGCTAAAAAGATACATATTCAGACACATAACATCATGGTGCAATCTTATTATTCCGTTTCTCAGGCAAATGGCATTTAATGAGTCCTATATTTGTCCTAGACTTTAGATTGATCCAGGATGCTAAAAAAAAAGCTTTTCTGTGAGAAAGCTGATGTAATGCAATCAGAGTCCAAGAAACTTCATTTCCAATGTTTTGAAATAAAGTACTGGGAAAAAAGACCCATTGTATAACTTCATTGAAGTCTATGAAGTTAAAACTAGAGATAAATTTGTATGAAAATGATAGCATTTAAATCAACAAATCTGAGTTACACCATAAAATGTAATAAATTCTCTACTGTCAGAGAGATGGAAAACTTCTCCAGGATAAATTACTGTTATTCAGATGCATTGCAATTTAAAGCTTTCATTTAAGTGTTTTCCTTGGGTACTTTCTGGTCTATAACATGGAGGTAAGATGGAAGGCAGGCATGCAAATGGGCTTTAAATGTAAAAAGCCAAGGTTTTGGTAAGAACCCATATATGTCTACCCCTTGCACAAGTACAAAACCCCAGCTTCCTCACCTGTGCATCCTAGAGAACGTAATAGGGTGATCTTTAGGGAGGTTTAAGCTGAAACTCCCTTAAAACAAACCAGCCACCACCCTACAGACCCTGAGAAGCTGGGTGAGAGGTGGGGATGAGAAGGCCACCAAAGAGAGCGAGCAGCTCTGCAGAAAGAGAGGCAAGGAACAGCAGAAGGACCTCTGCGGGGGTGCCCCACCTGGAATTAGGGATCGCACTTTTGTCTAGGCTTACAGTCACTGCTTACGTTGTACAATCCCCTATGGAATACAGAAGCCTCTGCTGGAAACTGTGGATGAAGGGAAAAGTACATTTACTTGGAGGGTAGTTACAAAGACTAGAGGGCTAAATTTATCTTGGCAATTCCAGTTGATATTGGGGGCAAGGGCCACAGCTTGCGGCTGGGGAGGGTCAGCTTAGATGTAAGGAAAACACTTCCAGGAGGTGGGTGGCACAGCACTGGAACAGGTCTTGGGCAGTTTTGGAAGCTCGGCCAGGCAAGCCAGGATTGACCTCACCTACTGTCACTAATAGTCCTACTCTGAGTGAGGGACTGGACTGAGTGACCTCCTGAGGTCCCTCCCAGTCAAGATTCCCATGGTGCTAAGGGATGTGGAAAGACACGGTTGCTCTGGGAAACCTACGCTAGCAAATCCAAAGAATCTGAAGAAGTGCTGAAGAAAAGAGATCAGGATCTGGTGGCTGAAGAGTTTTGTCCTGGGACAGGAGCCAAGCATTATCTCACTGGCAGAGGCAGTCCATCAGCTCATTAGAGGGAAAGGCTACCCGCTCCTTGGAGGCAGCAGGACAGAACCCATGTTCTTGTGTCCACCAGCTTAGAAAGTCTGGGTTATTGATGTGAAGAGCCTGCACCCTGGTGACAGAGAGCACGGTCTTTATAAACATAGATCTTTTCAAATCCTCCTGGGTCATGGAGTCCAGTCTGTTGCAGGCAACCACTTTCACAAAAGCCTCATGTCAATTT